ATGTTCATCTTTAATTGTGAGGGCAGCATTAATAAAGCTATTAAGAGCTTCTTCCTCATTGTCATAATCATTAGATCTTCCACTAAGATAAATTGTGAAGATGTTAATTGGAATTCCACGACTTTCGAATCGTGTCCATTGTAATGTTCCAGGTACGAGATTATTATTTGTAATATTGCGCTTTCTATAATTATTTAGAAAGTGCATAGCTGCAGTACCTTTGCAACCTTTTCTTGTATTCATTAATGAGTTAAATAATAGGTACCCTGATCCAGAGTTTTTGACTTCTATTTCTAGTTCTGGGGTATTTAAGTGAGTTTCAGTTAAACTCATAAAGTGAATTCCATGTGTTAAACACATGGATTTCAATTCAGGAGTAACTGATTTATGGCTTGCGTGCTTATATAAACCATTTACGTTATAGCACGCTAGCCTTAAACTTGTTGTGGTTCTACTCAAGGTAGAGTAGATGGATTAGATGATGAACTTAATTCATCATCTAACATATTATTATTACTATTATTAGAATCCTCTAACATCTTATTATTAGGATTATTTAACATTTTGTTATCATTATTAGGTCTAATAATATTTGCTTGTTTAAGTATTTCAACTATATTATTAATATTGTTATTAGTGAGCATGAGCTGTTGAGTTAAATCTATAATACTTTTTTCAATTTTATCAATTCTATTATTTGCATTTGTGATATTATTATTATTATTATTATTATTATTATTATTATTTACAATAGTAGTAGTTGGTAGTTGTCTAATTGGTTCATCAATAAATACGAGTTTATCAATAGGTGATAACTCTAATTGAGGAAGATATGGGTGTAATTTACTTTTCCTTTGGATTTTAGAATCCAATATTTGAATAGATGGCTTAAATTTAAATCCATTTCCACTATGATTTCTTTGTTTATCCTTTAGGGAGATAGATTTCTTGCAAAATTCATTCATTTCATCCATATCATTGTGTACAATTTTAATTAATTTGTATTTAGTTGTTCCAGAGCGGTTAG